ACAGCCAGTGGGAGCGCACACGCGCTTCCCAACCAAAACGGTGCAGGGCTGCGCACGGGGCCTCCCATCGCCCCCAGTGCCCAAACTGCATGGCCTAACCCTAGAAACGGTGCCCCGCACGCACACAAAGTGCCCATTTGTGGAAACTGCGATTCTATGGTGCTGTTTACCCACCCAGGACAGAAAAATCCATCCACCAAGAACAAGACGACTCCATTAAGGAGTCTGTTAGGATAAGATGGACCCAGGGAAAACATCACTAGCTCAGATTTTTTGCAACAAATCTGACCATTTGGCATATGTAGGCTGCGGCTGCTGCGGCAGGAGACGACGGAACGCCCGCAGTGAGCTCTGTCTCTGGGCAGCAGGGGGGCGAGCGGGCGCAATGGTGCACACTGCAGAAGGATCGGAAGGCACAGCATAGGTTACACTTTGATGCAGCTCCATCGTACCCCTGCGTGTGACTGAGACGGCTGGATTTTCTAAGGTAGGCTGCTAGTTAGCTGCGTTTACCAGCACCAGCAAGAGACCAGGAAGAGTAAGTTTCTACCGAAAGCTTGAGGCCCCTTTTTCAGGACGGTCTCACAATAATGGCCTCAAGCAACTGAAGAACTGTCCTGGAAGACAATACTCTTTGCCTTGAAAGGAAAAAGTAAACTTCGATGGAGTTAGGATAAAACTCCAAGTTAGGGCAGATTTACAAGAGCTCGAACTATGCAGTTGCCAGATTTACTTCAAGGCAGCTTGTGCATTCCCGATATTCTATATTATTAATGCACGTTTGCTTTTCATTATAGTTATAACCCAATATTGATACTGGCACATAATGTAAGTTTGATGACAGCAATTATTTACCAGCTGTAGAAATGCTCTGAAAAAAGCAAACCGAGCGTGAGAGGAAGCAAACGTAGCACAGTCCTGAGAAAAGCAACTTGAATTCCATGTAAAATATGAGCACAATTTAAATAACATTTACTAAATTAGCAACACAAGAATGGAATTCTCAAGTACAAAGTGAAGAAAAATTTTAGTTTAAGTTTGTTTATTGTGATAACATTGTTCTGAACATCAATAAACATTGCACTGAAGTGTGGGTTGCTGTACCCAAGATAGTCCAGTCTTAACAAAAACCACTGTATTGGTATGATCACAGATTTGACAATTTAAAAAACACACTACCTTATTAGTGATTGGGTTGCTTAACAATCAAGTATTCCACATCTTTAACATAAGAATGAAACAAATGATTGAAGAGAGTTTCCCCACCCTCAAAATAAACCAACGTTTTGACTTTCATCTGGAAGTAATTAACACTACAAAATCCAAACCAATTCCATTCTATACAGCAGAATTTAACTTTGGAAACTAAAACTTCTTCGGGCAAAAGTGACGCTTTAAAGGCATCTCAAATTCACTACGTATTTTTGATGTTTCATTATGAATTTGCATTACAGTCATTTAAACAACTCTCATTCATGAGACAGTATTTTCTACAAGACTTGTATGACATATTAACATGAAATCTCATCTCTTTTGTCTCCACCATAAGCAGATTCAGAGTTTGCTTCAGAAGTTCCACAATGGAGTTGACACAAGTGTTAAAACATTTCCAGTTGAAAAAAAAAAAAAAAAGTTTTAGGAGGAGCATACCGATGGCAGGAAGCTACGGATACACGAGCCAAGACTGCACATGCAATTGTATACTGTTAGGGATGAGAGCCCAACCTTTTGAAGTACAAACATGCTTGGTACAGTAAAAAAAAAATAAAAATAAAAAAAAAATATCCAGAAATGTGTACCACTTAAATTACCGATCTTCACCTCATTATAGAAATGGGTAATGTCCGAGTCATTAACAGGTTTTGAATTGCAATGTTCCTTATTTATTCCCAGACAGGTATCGTCGCCTCAGCCTTTGACACGGTTCCAATGCCAAGAGGATCTGCATCTTCAACAACACAGTCTTAACAGGGGTGTGCATGCGCCTACAGACGTACACACTTCGAAGTTCCTCTTTCACAGAAAGAATGATTTAGCTTGCGCTAATTTTAAAGAAGTATAGCACAACTTGTTCTCAAACATTAGTTTCAGGCCACTTCTCTTGACTAAGGTAAGAAAGGACAGGCTAACGCGTAATTTGTATTTACCCCACTTCATATTAACGTTGCAGCACAAGCCCAGTTAGATAGTAAGGAGATGTCTTGTCCAGAGTCAGTAAAGTGCCCAGGAGTCCAAATGACATAGGTATGCAGTGACAGGTACAGCGCCCCCGCGATCTGCCCCAAAACAGGGTTAAAAAACAATCTGAAAAGCTTCAAATACGAGCCAGATTCAGGAAAACAAAACCAAACCAGACCCCTGCCCTACTCATTAGAAACGCTCAAGAAAGCTTTTACATTTTATCAACAAATACCAAAACTGTAGCTGTTACAGAGCAAAAAAGCAGAATTTTTAACTAAGCAACTTTAGGGACATCCCTACCACGCAAAACAACAGGTTAGCAGAACGAGGAGCTCTCTACAACCACACAACCCCCATATTCATACCAGCTTAAGTTATATGCGTTTGGCTATACACACAGATACTGTTTTTCCACACTGCTCATTTACTCAAGTCCCCACCTTAAAATCCACAGCTTATCTTTATGACAATCTGAAAAGATGAATGGAACTGAAGTGAAGAGAAAAAAAAAATAACCAAGTTTAAAAAAAAAACCCGCCAACCAAGAAAGATACAGCCAAACCTTGGTAACAACCTGTCCCATTTGGAAACCCATCCCAGTTTCATGAAGTGCTTTTGTTCTCAGAAAGCCTGTGTAATACCAGGGCCGCCAAGAAAAAGTTAAGCACGGTAAAGAAAATTTTGACATAAGACATAGGACTGGTTTAGGAGAGGCAGCTCCACTACCTTTATGTAAAATAGAATCTTTAGATAGAATATTTAATCTTGTAATTAAAATACTTTATTATGTTGGATTCTTATTTATTTAAAGTATTTAAGTATTGATATTCAAAGCACTTGGTGATCATGAAAATTTCAATTTCTAATGACATCTATGGAATAAAAGGTAAGAAAAGGAAAAAAAAAAAAACCAACCATGGAATAGTGTTTGTAAGCTTCTGACAGTAAAAAAACCAAACCCCAGTAAGAGCAAAATATCCTTTCAGTTGGATCCTGTGAAATCCACTTAAACACTGAGTAGATTGGTGGCAGGACCAAGAATTTGCTGAAACAGTCACAGAAAAGATTGTTCTCCCTCTACATGGACAAGGATGCCTTGCAGTTCACTGACATGCATGGCACACTGTGACAGATAGGTATGTTTTCTTTCCCACTCTCATACTCCTGCTTTGAAAGAGAGGTACCACGTTGATTTTGCTTGCCCCCACTCTTTATCTAATGTTTTATACACACAGGAATACACTAGAGTTTTACAAAGGAAAAAAAAAAAAAAAAGTAATTTCAGTTACATGGTGATCTAAAAATTATCCGCCCAAGCAGCTCACCAACTGTCTAGCACTAGCTGGTGTTACATCAGTTACATGTGGGTTAAGACTGCTCAGCCTGATAAAGAAAAATATTCCGGGGGGGTTGGGGGGTGCAAACCCTCTAAATGTACTCTTCTGCAGGCAGTGAGAGCAAGCGAGCTGCTTTCCCACTTTCAGCCCAAGCAAGCTGAAGCAGAAGGGCCTGCCCAAGCTGTTTTCTGAGAAGAGCTGTTTCTGAGGCTACCGCAGCAGGTAGCCACACACACGCCTTCTAAAGCACTCGCGCTCCCCTGCACACGTCCCTGCTCCCACTGGGAGCTGCGTACAGGGGAGAGCACGCCCTCCGCCCCCGAGCCTGGTGGAAATTCTGGATGTTGCCCCTGGAAGGATCTTTAATGCACGGCTCCAGGAACTTGCTTTAGGAGTAACAGAAAAGACTGTGCGCCCAGAAAGCCCAGGACTGATGTTGTTTAAATGACTGATGTTTAAATGAGTGTAGTCCTTTAGCTCTCTGGGCTGGTGGAATCATACATTCTCACCACAGATTTGTCTGAAGGAGGTTAAGTGCACTAACTTAACTTAAAAAACAGAACTACTTTTGCCTTCAAGTATTTTTGGAGAGAGAAATACTAGCTGCTTTTATAGCTGATAAACACTAGACCTGGAATGCAGTTTGTTCACAGGCTCTGATCCGAACCTGAGGAATGACCAGCATGATGTTTATGAATAAACCAAAAGTTTAAAAAAAAAAAAAAAAAAAAAAAGGAAAAAAAAAAAAAAAAAAAAAAAAAAAGGTTTTATTCTGCTCTGCAGCATTTAACCATTCTCATACCTTGAATCTCACTCTTTAGCTACATTTCCTCCCAGCTACTGAAAACTTCCAATACAGAATTCTGGAAAGACCTGAAGTAGACAATTAAAAAATTAAATACATAGGTTTTTTTAGTATTACAATTCCCTGAATATAATCTGTACATATGTTTTACTGGCCTACACAGCACACGCACATATATGCATCATCTGTGTTGAAAAAGGAAATAAAAATGCCAGCTCCCCAACTCTTACAGAAACGTTCGAGATGTTTCTTGATGGAACTTTAACATGACAGCATACCCTGAAAACAACAAAAGCCATACAAGTAGCTGAAGACAACTTTCATTTTAGCAAGCTCATGAAAGAGTTTAAGCATTGCAGGTAAAAAAAGTAATAAGCAGAGTTAGTCTGAGCATGAATTGTACGAGCACAGGCTTGTGCATATGAAAAAAGGCATGTTTACATTTAAAGAGGAATTTTATGCCTTCAGAGTCTGTCAGGCTAGTAACGTCTTCACATTTCCTGTATTTTAGCTGAGAAAGAGCACACTGGTCTTAGGTTCTGTCTCATTTAAAAAACTGCCTAACTGCCCATCTGAACATTAGGCCACGTTTTTTATTAATAGATCTGACAATTCTATTTGGCAGTTTCCATACACTTTTTGGCTTCATTTTAGAAAATATACTATTAAGACTAATAAAAAAAAAAAAAAAAAATCTATGTTTACAATAAGGTCTGTATTGATGAAAATGCAAAGTCATAGTTTACCTCAGCATTACCCTGAAGCACTTGGGTACCATGACCATCAATGACAGGCCAATCTCAAGTGCCTTAGAACATGTATATAGAGACAAGCAATAAAGAAACAAACAAAAAAACCTAGCCCCCCCACAAAAAATAGACAGTAGATTTGCATTTTCTTTGTTTTAAACCAACAGAGTTAAAGTGATTTCCTTAGTAAGACTTATGGTACCAGAATATAAGTTAGCATCTTTGTTAAGAAAGTTCTTCACATTTAAACTGAAGTTGAGTAGCTGAATATGAAACTCCATCTCTAGGTGAGAAGTATTTTTCAGGCCAGGTCGTCCATGTTAAGGTCAGGAAGAGGCCCTCTCCAATAGCAAAAGGAGCTGAATTCTGGGCACGGAAATGCAGAACTCTGTTCTTTATTAAGCAATGGGAACACATGTTCCACAAGCTCACTTAGTCTGTAATACCTATATTAAAAGAGAAGAAAGACCATTATTTAACAGTCTAGTCACTGTTCAACTGTAGCCAAAAAGGAGCTTTAGAAGTCTAGACCAGAAAGCTATGGTCAAATAAGGCATCACTACTGCAGAAGCAATTTTCAATTTTATTTTGCCAGTTTACTTTTCTTTTTGAAAAGTCTTGTTATGTATCCAAAGTTGTAAGTCTCTGGCAAGTAAGATTTTCAAGTGTTGTATGTAATAGGAGATCGAATCACAGTCACAATTGCTATTATTTTGTAATCTCATGCCTAAATACTTTCTTTAGCTGAAATAACAAAAATGATCTTACGAAGATTTGTTTCCCTTAGTCCGTTCTTGGATCAGTTCACCCTTTGGATTCACAGTAAATATTCTGCAGTCTGGAACTCCCACTTGCATATAAGCATATACATCCTGCAAAAAGCATGAACAAAAGCATATGCTTCAACATTTCCCTACTGAATACAATATAACAAACAATTCCTTGAAGGAATGAGAAAAGTTGATCCAAAAAGGGTACAGTAAAACTGCCCTTAAAAAAAAGCCCCCTAAACAACAGCCAAAAACCAAAACAAAAACATACACGCAGAACATACAGGCACCATAACAAAACATTCCCCCCACCCCCTATCCCTTAATTCCTATTCCCAAGCCTGGGAGCACAAACACGCACAAAATCTATACCACACAATACCATTCCTTGTGACAATATTCCTCTTACAATACCCTCTCTCTCTAGCTCAATTACGATAGCATTGATCTGCGGAGAAAATACAGGAACATATGATAGGGAAAAGGATTCAAGACTGAGGAGCACTGAATTAATACCCCTAGGGTATAAAGCTGTCAAAATGCTGAAAAAGATTATGGAAAAGTGGCACATATTTAATAAAAACCTGAGGATACCAACACATTTTGTAACCTTTCTCATACAAGCAGTTCTAGCAGCTTTTATGTAAGGTATCTGCATGTGGGTGTTCCTGACCAAACCCATAAAAGCACCAGTGTCCCATTTCCTTATTCAAATTTAAATAGACACAAAAAGAAAAGGCTATTTCTTTTGCTTCCCAAGTACTTCATGCATTTTAACCCTTCAATTAGAAAGGGGCAGACTTACATTGGGCCTGTTTCCAAAAGCAGCATAGAAAGGTTGTTTACTGGGAGCAAACAAATTCTTGATATCATTCAAACATTCGATTTTGAACTTTTCAGGCTTCTTTTCTATTACTTCCCTAAAATAAAATTTCAACAGTCAAATTCTAAATCATGATTTGATACAGGGTATCCTCTTTCCCCCATTTATCTGATATTTATGTTCTCATTGCTTCATGTTGCTAGCATTGGTAGTTACATAGACATTGGTCAGTAGTTTTCTAAGAAAAATACAAGAGACAATAAAGCGATAAAACATCTGCTGTTTTCCAACATCTGTAGTAAACAATAGGTGAATAACCTGTGCCTAGGCTAAGCAAATGGGATGAAATTCCCAGTTGTGAATGCTGTTTGTGAACTGCTTTTATTGTAGACAACCATCTGAATTGGAAGACCTAATCAAGTACACATAAGCTTGTTACAACTCCTGCCTCTGACAAGAGTGCGGAAGGCCTATCAATGACCTTAGTGGGAGTTCTTAATAGAATTCATGCTAGTCATGAATCAGTTGGTTTTCACTTAAAAAAAAACCCCAAAGCAAACCAACAAGATTTTTCCACTATTGGCTCTTCCCACCAAAGACAGGTAGAGACTATGGCTGGTTCAAAAGATCAGCTGAGTTAAACCATAGCTAAACTCCACATTGCTTTTTAAGTAGTCATATACAGAGCACCCCCAATATCCCAAGATCATTTAGTATGACAGTCTATATTGCCCAGCTTTTTTTCTTTTCCCTCTATCTTGCCTAGTAGCACCACGCCACAATCCTTGCAGCTACACTTGAAGAAGACAAAATTGTACTGATATAAACAGAACCCAGTACTAATCAGTCACGGACTAGAGGAACGAAAAAAAGGGAAAAAGAGCTACTCTGTGACTGCAATTTTGTGGTTTGTGGCCACTTCTAACACACCCACAGAAACAGAAGTATGCTACAAGTGAAATTCAGACCAAGCAAATTGCTTGTAAGTGATCACTAGAGGGACATGAAGTCTCAGTAGCAAATCTAGCGCAGAGCAGAATGTTTGGTTACAGTTGTAATGGTCAGCATGCCAAATCTTTTTAATCTGCTTCTTTCTCTGGGATGGGGAGGGAATGGATGTATGAAATCCCACATGCTTACCTATGAAAGGCAGAAAACAAACTGCTGGGGGACAACATGAGAGGGCCCCTGGGGAGAATCGTTCCTTTGTCATTCACCCAGTGTAGGTATCCTCTGGTCATATCTGCCATCCCAATGGCACGGGCGGAACAGTACAGAAACTTGTAGCCATTTCTAGAAAAGAATGATCAACTTAGTTTACTTTTTTTTCTTTGCAAACCTAAGTACACAGCTATAGCAATGTCCGGAGGCACCACTTCAGGTACTGAGTCGTTGCAGTGCTCTGCACACACACAAAGAAAGGACTGTTACACTGTTATAAAATCTACAGGGCATATAATATTTTAAATCCATGTCTCCATCAAAACTGAGAAACAGGAACTGTAAAAAGAACTGCAAAAGGATGGTAACATTCAGATTACACAATTAGATGGACTAGATTGTGGTTAAGTAAGTGCCACACTGGTTTTATCCAGCTTCCTTCAGCCCAGCTATAGGATGATAGCAATTATTTAAATTATCTGCATCACATAATATTGCATGCCAGATCTCCTCTCTTGGTTGTTGGATTTTTTCAGGTTGTGGACAGAATTTGCAGTGCAGAGTGAAGGACTGGTAACAAGAAGCATTGATCAAGCCCTCAAATTTTTCCTCCAGACTTTGTACGTTCATCTGTTACACAGATTTGTATACACGCACAAAAGGCTTGAGTGTTTATGTGTATTTTCAAAGACCTGATTCAATTTGGCAAATAATTCCCAAACTACTATTATGCACTGAATAACCTAAACTTTGTTTTGTATCTCCCATGGACTGTTAGGTGCCACAGATGAAATTTAGCTCTGTGTAACAGAGCGAAGGGCAACAAAAGATTGCAAGACCTTAAATATTTTTGAGGAAGAAAGATTACTAAACTTAAAAACAAAGATAAAAGCTTATTATTTTAAGGGGCTCACAGAGTATTTAACAATTGATCATCTTGTGATCCTCAGTAGGAAGTACAGTGATGCCAGAAATAATATTTTTGAAAAATAGTTGGCTAAACAAAGGACCAAATCTGAAAGGGGAGGAAAAATGTAGTTTCATTCTGCCCTAGGTTACAGGACATAAATATTGTAAGGCTATATACCTCTTAGGTGAACAGTACATTTATAAGGGTGTGGTTCATGCTTTTGAACTAAGCAAACACCTCACCACTGCTGCAAGGGTGAAGTCATCTTTCCTTTCCTTCCTCCCCTCCTGCAGTCACATGGGCTGCCCCTACAGGTTATTGCAGATCACAAGGTGAGCAGGTTCAGCTGACTAACCCAGAGACGGGAAGGGGAAATTGCTGTTCTGGTGAATTACTTTACTACTGTTTTACTGAACTGCATCAGCTTATAGCAGCTCAACAAAGTACAGAAAACTTGAGCCAGGCCACCAACTCTCCCTTTGTGGCAGGGGCAAGTTGTTCATCAGGCTTGTTTCAGAACATGAAATGGTGTCCCTGCTCACTGCACACATTCTATGATTCTATGATGAAATTTGTCCTAGGAAGCATTCACTTGAGTTTGGTAGCAAACACATTAAAACACAAAATACTTACGCAGTGGAAGGACACTACTTAGGTTTGAACTTACACTGTACCATGTTTGTAACAGGCTTTGTGATCAACCTGAGTTGGTGCAAACAGGCATAGGCATGACTGACTGAGAAATTATTGCTATAGTATGGTTCTCTTTTGTAGTCACAACAATATTAAAAACAGTCTGTAGGAACTAAAATCAAACATTTGAGACGGGAACTAGTAAAAGTGGTGGCTTCTATTCCTGTAAAAGTATACATCTGGGAAAAAAACCACTTAGTTTTATTTGTGAATGACAGAAGTAGCTCACTTCCACACATTTAAGACCAACAAACTGTAAGGCTGCACAATTATTAACAACAATCCAATTACCTGCCCATTAATTCCCAAATGCCAGAAAAACCTAATTGCTTCATGGATTACATACTCACTCATTTATGGAATGATACAGTTTTGCAATGCCCTGATGAGTCCAGTCCTTTCCAAGCTGAGGGAGGATCTGTCCTAAAGCATCAGACCTAGAAGTAAAATCAGAGGTAACTGATACTAAGTATACAAGTTTTGTTAGAGACTACCACTAATGAATATATAATTTATAATGAGTGTTTACAGAAATATCTCTGCAGAAGGTCCTAGTGATTTCAAAAGAGAGTTAGCAACTACTCCAGACAAATCAATCAGTGGGGCCACACAGCACAAGGCAGTTTCCAAGTTAACCTGAGGCTGCTAAACCTGGAGAAGTCTAACTGAAAGGCCAATAGTCATATGGTAAACAATACCACCCTTGAATTACTCTTTCAAAAGACATTTTCTAGTGTGCTGTAAATGCAAGTACAAATTGAAATCAAAGCAACAAGTGTTGTTCATGACTGTCAATGAACATCCTCCAATAGCCTTCTTAAATCCAGTTTCTTTATCTTATTTTGAAAAGCAGGACAGGATCAAACAAGCAAGATAAAAATACCAATGAGAATAAAAAAACCAATGATACTTACTTGGTTATTGTTCCATCAATGTCCGATATTATGATTTTATCATTCCAGTTCCAGAGATAGATTGTTCCCGCACAACGGCAAGTCCCTTGATATTGGGTTGTAATACTAAATACAACATCATTAGGGCCATCTCTGAGCTTCAACTTTGCCTTTAGAATAAATCAAAATAATTGAAAATATAAATTGCCCTCACTATAAAATTTTTAGAATCATAAATGAGCTACAGAAAATGGCTCGTATATTCCTCCTTATCTATTTTGATTACTCATCAAAAAGTGAACCGTGGTTTAACACTGGCACAGTTTTGCTGGTAAAGTCTGTTTTGTAGCCTGGGTACATGTATTTGTCCATAGCTCCTGTATCTGCTTACAGCAGCACTGACTACTGCAGTAATAATAGAAGATATTTGACTCTCTACTACTTTAATTCTTGCTATTACAGTAGACTTCCAGTACTGTCAAATGGATCTCCCTGTTTGCTATAGTATGCAATATTATCTTCTACTTAGTGGATGCTTTCCTCAGAATTCTTCCCTGATGAAGATCATATATTTAGATAAACAGTGGCAGAACTAACTTGTATGTTAGACAGGAATGAATAAACTCCATACCAATTTAAATGTACATTATTATACTGTTAAGATCCCACAATATCCAAACTGCAGAAGCCAAAAATGTCGCCTTTTTGGCAACATCTTAATACAGAAGTTTAATTACAGAACTTTGTAAGAAATTTTTATTTTTTAATCCAAACACAGATTCTCAAAAAACGCAACAGAAAAAAAAACCAAAACCAAATTCCCTGCAGCTGCCCACACTAGCACTGGAAAAAACTCTAAACTACTTTTTATATTTTAAATTTCCCCATTCCTTTTTCCTACTGCTGGAAAAGTAACCAAAAGATCATTTTTTGCTTTGTGACATGTACTTATATGTAATTTCTAAAAAGCAGAAAAAGTCTGACTTTTAGAATCAAACAGAGCGGAATTATGAAGCATCATCCTATGTACAAGAAAGGCATGCCACTTACTATTTGGTCCGAAGACAGCCTAAGTGACTTCTTATAAGATGTAACATTCCCATGGGTTGGATGCTCTACTGGGGCAGAATCTATTTTCAGGGATTCCTTCAACTCCTGTGATGCTTCATCACTAGAAGAATCATCCTCTGGAGGTCTAACATGACATCAACCGAGATAAAATGTAAGCTACAGAAAATCCTTCTTTAATGGTGTAAGATTCTTATGCAAGAGTAATTTCTGCTTATGTTGAGGATTTGCTACTAGGCTGATAGCACAGATTAATAAAGTCCATGGTCTAGCGAATGCCCAGATAAAGCTAGTATATGCCAATAAGCAAATAAGACTTGTAATGCATGCTGGTATTGGTGGAGCTCTAAATATTACTATTACTAGCTGGCTCCACACATGATGAGTTTAGTAAAGACACGGTGTCAAGTGATCACTATTACTGTCTTGATGAATTAGGTAAACCGCAGATGAAAAGGGATACTGAATGAGTAACAGTGGTTTGTATTTTAAAAAAGCTGCCAGAGCTACTATACAGTTGAAACTGTGGGTGATAGTTAGTGGAGTAGCTCACCTTTTAAGGTTATTCAGACTTATTTCTCTGCTGATTAGAGATTTCAAGATTAAAAGCAGCATTTAATTTCTCTGAAGTATTCAATCATGATATATTTAGTTTCTTAAATCTTTAAGACACCAACAACACTTGAAAACATCTTTGTAAAATCATGGGAGAATATGAATATGTGTAATAAATTATCTAGACTAGGACAGTTCTGTGCTAAACACTGCTAGTTTTGAACCACAATCTTGAGCAACTTATGCACTGTAATTAATGCTGTTTTATTGTTTCAATTATTTAGTGTTACAAAAACTTGCACATGGTTTAAATTACTCATACAATATTAGGCTTTTAAAAAAAAAAAAAAAAAAGACGACGAACTATCTCAGAAACAATACCACTACATTAACAGAGTAGTGGCCCATTGATAAAGGCTACCATATGTGTCTTTGTTATTCTGTCAGTTATGTTACAATTTGAGAAGTAAATACAATAGAATTTAGGAAATAACTGTAGTGTGTTTGTAGTTCCTACAATGTTTGCTGCCATATTATTTTGCTGAATTGTTTGCCAAACACATCTGGTTTCTCTTCAGCAGCTTAGAGGAAAATGTTTCTTCCCAAAGTAAATTCCCACTAAATTATTTATTAAGAAAAAAAAAAGAAAAAAAAAAGAAAAAGAAAAAAGGCACTATTCAGTCCACAAAATAGTCTTCAGACAGGAACACACCTACTATTAACTTGCTCTTTTATAGTTGCTGGCAGTTCATTTGCTCTTTGCGTCTCTGTTTTCCCCTCTTTTGCCTCCGGTATCTAAAGCAACATGATAATAAAAACCATATTGTCATTTTAAGCATTTTAAACTGATCCAAGTGAATTCATAGCTCACACTTAAGCAAGTAGCTATCAATTTAGTACATAAACTATATTAAGTCTCAGAATCGTTCAATCTGTAAATTATTTAACAAAAGGATGCTTATGAATAAATGATCCATTAAAGCTTTTCATTATTTCAGGAAACAAAACTCTGCATGCCAGAAGTTGAGAACTACTAGTCCAACATGATGAATTTGGCATTAAAGGAGCTGTCAACCTCTAAGCTTATAAAATTCAAATTTACTTCCCCCCCAGAAAAGTAAGACACATACTCAAAGGTTCAGAAAACTTAATTTAGTCTAAAAAGGGGTGTCTCGGCGTAACTTCTATTATGCAGCATAGCACCCACTTATTTGTGTACACATTCCTAAAACATACTGCAGTGACTGAAGAGTAGCTCTGACAACACTTAAGGCTTAGAAGAAAGCATTTTAAGATCATTGTGCAACAGATGAATACAATAATTTTTGTTGAAGCAACTAGTAATAGCAAATAATGATGTGGTATTTAAGACTAAACATACAGAAGTAGCTACAGCTACTGCAACATTGAGTAGCTCTCAGCTGGCGATTAGTGACACAGAGCTACATAAGCAGCATTCTGGAGCACTTCTGACAAATTACAATTTTTTTTATTTTTTTAACAGCTAAGGAAAGAAAGAAAAAAAAAAATTGAAATAGGTTATCAGTTACCTGTTTAGTCATGCTTTCTCTCTTGCGCCAGAACCACCACCTTCCAGACTTCTTTGGCATCTTTTCTTTGACCCAAGACTCAACAGTAGCCTGAAAAATTAGGAATGTTTTTAATTTGTATAGAAAAACAAAATAAAGGGATAATCATGTGTTACTACATACAAATCTTTAAAAAAATATACATGTATCTGTTTACCTTGGGCAAACTCTTCTGAAACACCTGCAAACTCAGAATCATTGGAGCAGCCAACGCCCAGTTATAATACCTGTTTTAAAACATGTTATTAATATTACAAAACCTGACTAGAGGTCAAATAAATATATTGATAAAAATATGTATTTACTGCCAACAACTAATATTAAAGTTTTCTGCAAGCAGAGTTATTTTAATATATACAATTCAACATCAGTGGTAATTGCTGAAAAAAAAATAAAAATCTCACTTCTGTTAAAGCTAAATTTAATGCAACTCTTCAGTTCAAAATCATTGTCTTTGAGACTGAGAAACAGATACATCAAAACCACAAATTGTAATGGAAGCTGAGAAATGCTTTGATGAATCACTTTAAAGGATAGATTTTTAAATGAGATCTTCTACGACCTGATTACCTGATATAGAGAGCTTACCTGTTATAAATCCTTATTACCAAATTAGGATTGTCTATGAGTCCAGGGTTTTCAGCAAATTCATGATAAGTAATAATATGTTCCATAAATTTTTCTGCAATAAAAGCAGATTTTAATCAGAAATAATAATACAAAATCCCAAGATGCCTGATTAGTTTTTATCTAGGAAAATGCTTTCTGCCATTTCAGAGTCTTTGCTGAACTTACAACCTCACTCATGATATGCTAATATGGCCTACCTGTCAAAAGTCTTGTGACTGCCTCCTCAGTAACAGGGAAAGCTTCGTACCACTCCAACAGTCACAGTAATGAGAATTAAGAAATTAAAAGAGGGAGGATAAGGAGGAGGTAGGAATGAAATCAGTTTGCAGGTTGGAAAAAAGAGAGCTATGCTTGTCTAAGCAAGCTTTCTTTAAAAAGTAGCATGGCAGGTAATGGACCTACAAATTATACTAAAAGGGGCAGGGGAAGGATGTTGACAGTTTTCAGGTTTGTTTAATCACTGACTACTAACAGCATTTTCATGACTAGTGACTATAAACTGTAAATTTCTGCGAACTTGTAGTGTTAAGATCCCTGCAAGGAAGACATAATTTTTTCAAATCAAATCCAATGTTACTATCACATTACCAACAGAGCTGTTCTGAGCCTTTATTAATAAGCATTTAAATTTCACTTGATGCATTAGAGACTGGGTGACCATTTAAAAAGTAGTACTAAAAACATTGCAGTACATGTTAACAAAGACTATGTGCTCCTAGAAGCTCCCTCAAAAATGCATACAACTTCAATATTAAAACTAACCAGAGCATTAAGAGAGAAGAACCAGCTGGTAAAAAAACCTAAAGGTTAACAAACATTTAGCGTAAGAAAAGTAGAGCAGGAGAAAAGGTAGTCCAACACAATAGTCAGAAGTTTTTTAATCACTCAAAAATAAAATAAAAAAGAAGAATTATCAAGCAGTTCGAAAGCATATGACTTGTGAAGATTTATATAGGAGTAAGCAACTAATTGCAGCCAGAAACAAGAGTGGTTGGTGAGATATGCAATATGTAGTGCAAAAAAGGAGACAGACAGCTTCTCAAGACACCAAGTGCTCTTGATTAATTTGACGTTAAATTCTGCTATCTCTGCTTGGCAAGTGCTTAAGAATTTCACTGTTTATATTTTAGTCTTTCACATACCTTTGGAAATCTCTCCATTTTCATTGAGACCTCCACAAAGTGAAAGTGTAACATCAGGCAAGTCCATAGCAGAATCAGACATGCACTCTGTACCACTATCAGCAGCAGCACTTCCTACTGACTGGGGTGACTGAGAACCGGAAAGGGTATCTGACTCTGTCCACTGCCTGAAGCCTGGATCAGAATCACTAAAGAAAAGAAGTCCACATTTTCCGTAAGTATTTCACTTGCAAAAGATTGTATGGATTTTTGGTTACACGCTATATGATTACTCAAAAAACACCATCTTGCTGTTGCATTTCTTTCAAGTACAACATCATTTTAGAACATAAATTTAAAACCGATCAAACAAAAATCGGACACAAACACCCCTCCCCCCACAAACCCTTCATAATACTGGCAGATTGACCGTTTCCAGTTCTCCTAACATCCACCTAAATTGGGAAATAATTACATTTCTCTTGCATGCAACAAAAATGGATTTAAGTGAGGAAAAGGTCCCCCACATTCTATTTCTGTAGAACAATACTATGCTCCTCAATCTTCACCTGAAAGCTGTATAATAAGAATAAAAGGAAAAAGGACATTGCTTAATGTGTGTTTAGAAAAAGTAGAATAGAAAAGAAAGGTGGCCTTTTAAATAAAAAAATATCATGTTGTCATCTATGGTTAGAATTATTAGTTTGATCCCACGTAATCTAATCAGCAAGTACTGAAAAGTTTACGGTTCTAGTTTTAACATAAGCTAAAAGACACTTCTTCCTTATTAAGCTCTATTTTTACAAAGGTCTTCCCAGACAGTTATTCATTTGGAGAGCACTTTAGGAATGTAAAATGCTTTGCTTTCATTAAAAAAAAAAAAAAGTGAATTTTGAGACTGAGCTGCCACACCTGAAGATCTTGTGGAATTCTTTTTTGTTGGTCTTTTTGATATTAAAATAAAAGTTGGAAGGGATGTACAGGGCATGCAAAAAATAAACTGATGTGCGCTTATCTAGAGCTAGCAATATGGCAAAATAGAGTACTGATGCAAAAGGAGTATGCAGTTTAAACTTACCCCCCCCCATATTTGCAGAACATACAGGCTCCACAAAGATGAAAACTCTCAGTAATGACCTCCCACGTGAAATTTCAATGTGTTTCTTGACAAATCAGATACAGATCTTTCACAATGAGATCAGTACTGATTACTCCACAAAACCCTAGAAACCTAAAGTCCAATTCTTTTTATCAGAACTGGCGCATAAACACCTAAATCATACATGTAATAACTCACATAGTGCAACTGCAATATAAGCCTCAATCCATAGAAGCTTAATTCAAAATTACCTTTTGGGAAAGTAGAGTGCTGCAACTTCAGGTTCCAAAGCCTTTAGGTCCTCCAAGTAAATATCGTCAGGCCCCTGATGATGACTTCGCTTGTGCACACCTGTTAATTTTAACAATTAAGATTACTAAGATGAAGCTATCCAGACACATTAAATACAAACATAATTGTGGAAGATTTGGACTTACTTGTACCATTTACAAATCCAAGAGTTTAATTATAATTTTAGTCAGATAAGTCTTTAAATAGCAAAAATTGAAAAGGCACGTTTATACTTTTTCCACTAATGGCTTCAAATTTGGTAGATCACACTGAAGGAAAGAATTGACAGCTTCATATACCTTTCTTTTTTGAAGGAGAGTCAGTTTTTGCTGTTGGCTTTGTTTCTGGTAAAGGGTCCACCAACAGTCTGGAATGATGATCAGCATCTAATGGCGACGCATCCTGCGGTTCTATGATTGCAGAAGCAAGAGAATCTTTAACATCCATCTGCTTAAGCAGAGGATGAGTTCTTGGCTCAGGTTTCAGTACTGTACAGACAGAATCTTTCACATCATCATCATCTTCAACTTCATCAGAGCTGAGGATGACCCTAAAATGAGTCTTCTCTGATGGAGTAATGGTAGCTGTTCTGGGATGTTCCAGTTTCTCTTTCTTGCTTATCTGAAAAACAAAACTCTAGTCAATCCTTTCACTTCACATGTTTGTTTTATTCTGGTCCAAACAATACATTTATAGTCACAGTACAAGTCCTGGTCACAAGTAAACTGGGTAAGAATTTAAACATGTATTTTGGCAACATAAAACACATCCCACCTCATTAGCAAAGTTCCCTGCAAGAGGCTTCATACTAGCTTATTTACAAGTTAAGTAAAGAAACTGGCATAGAGGAAGTGCTGACTTGACCAAGCCATGGAAAGAAAAAAGCATAATGTGCATGTACATATGCACATGTACAATACAGCATAATACATGTACAATGTAGCATAAATGTGGATGTACTAGGGCTTCTGTCACCAGCCGTCATGTTAGATATGAAATTTACTCTGGAATGAACTAGAACTTAGCCTAAAATAAAGGCAATTAATTTCTAAAGTTGCTTTCTTCAGTTTCTAACTAAAAATTTAAAAAAGAAAAAAAAAAAAAAAAAAGATTTTTACTGCTAGGTGTTCTGGAATTACTTTACTAACCAGCATTTGTACAAATTCGACTATCTGCCAGCCACAAGAGGGTGCTACTTTCCTATTTCAGCTGAATTACTCTGAAGCACAGCATCAGATTTCCAATCCAAGCTTAGATACACCAAAACTCAGTTCACAAAGTTAGAGACAATAAATAAATGTACCTTGGTTGATTCTGGGAATCCTCCCCATGTCCATTCCATGTGAGATTCAGATCTGAGCAAGCTCTCAGCAGGTTTAACTTCTAGTTCTGAATCACTTCTAGGGCAGACTGGCTCAGAAAAAGGGCTAGCAAATCAACAAGAACAACAAAAAAAAAAAAAAGAAAAAAAAAGAAAGCTACAGTGTTTAAAATGCATTTGTTGTGCAGCTACTGTTGGTAGAGTTTTCTACAGCTTAACAGAGCTTCAATTATTCGGCAACATGGCAAGAAGCCCAGCAGGGTTTTCAGACAGTGAGAAATTAGGTTAAAACCAAAATCACATTAAAGGACTTACATAGCGATCACCCTAAACTGATTCCTCCACTGTATCTGCAGTGTAGGTATAGCTCTCCCCTCAGCCCATGTTCGATTTTTCAAACAAAACAAACAGAACAAAAAAAAAATTTACCTAAAGACAGAAATTAGCTTTAAGTTCCTTTCCTCTATAAAAATATAGCATTTAAGTTTGCTATGCCAAGACTTGAGTAATAAGAGTCCTGCAAACCAAAATCACAAATGCACAAAACGAAACCAACTCCTGATGCGGGAAAAACAACATTAACAAGATAACTTAGGAAAGTGAAGGGAGATTACTTGAAAACGTCCTTCAGATGTGTTTGGACTACATGACCTCTTAAAGTTCCATCCTATTTTTCCTACAGCTATTATCCATAAATCAGAAACAGACCTCTGAAATTTACTTTAGCCAAGACTATTTTAAGCCAGAAGTCCTCACTCTGCAAAATGCTAGAAAGGTGTGAGTTCAAAATCAATTTGCTCTTATGATCTTAGGGGGGAAAGTAGCATTTAGTGTTTGGACAGGTCCAAATCCATCCTTTCTTGAACAGGGCAATTATATAGCATATTATAGAAATGATGCTCTTTTTACATTTTGATATTCATAAAGGATTTTGGTTTGGTTTTTCTTTTACCATATATATAAACTTCAATATTTGAATTTGAATTGTAGGGACCAGAATTGGACACAGCACTCCAGGTGTGGCCTGACCAGCGTTGAGTAGAGTGGGATGATTACATCTCTCTCTCTGCTAGTAATGCCCCTGCAGATGCAGCCAAGGATCCGATTTGCCTTCGCTGCTGCAGCAACACACTGCTGACTCATGTTGAGCTTGCTGTCCCCCAGGAGCCCCAGGTCCCTTTCAGTATGGTTGCTCCCCAGCCACACAGGTGCAAGCCCATACTGGGCTCTTTGGTTATGTCAGTCCCAGGTGCAGGGCTTTGCACTTGTCTCTGCACTTGTTGCACCGGGAGTGGTTCCATCTTGATCTAAGAAAGAAATTTTTTACAGTGAAATTAATCACTCACTGGAACAACCTTCCAAGGGATGTGGTCCCCATCACAAGAGGTTTTCAATTTGTGACTCTGCAGAGTGCTAGGTTAAGCTCATCTAGTGTCCCTTTTTGTGAAATGCTGGACCAGATGATCTTTTGAGGTCCCTTCATTCAGGCATATAAAAAAGGAAACCATTTACAGATTTTCCCTGAGTTCTCCTTTAACAATTTCCTACAGAAATTATATTTTCCTGTACTGTTAGAAGGGCTTATTTAAAGTAACACTGATGAAAATACATGTACATATTTGTTTTCAGGAGGAATATGAGCTCATTTTCCCTACGTGCCAAATAACTTGTTCCACCTATATCACAAGTCAACTGGAAGCCATGCAAGACATTAACCTGTTTCTTAATCTTCAGCTGTACTTGCAAAAGACTGAATACTTCAGGGCTTTGAGAACCTAAGCCTGTTCCACTTCCCCCAAAGTGTAAGTTTTCCATTATCAATCCTCAGGGAGAACTCTACAGTCAAAAGGCCCATGCTTGTAATAGTTATCAAGTCATGCTAACATTGTTTGTTAAACCAGGAAGAACATCAGTGGTATTAGGTATCAAACAGTTAACGGTTATGCTTTTTGGTTTTATTCTAGTGAGTAGGCCAAACACAAGCATCCGCATTGAAGCCTGCAAGGATTCTGAAGAGCAAGACGATCAACCTCAACTAAAGGACAGAACATGAAAGCCTCCCATTTCTATTTCACTGTACAATAGCTACATTATAGAATTCTTCTTTGGAGAACTCTTCTTTAGGAGAAGCAATTTCATGCGAAATTTCTCTTCTCTTAGATGGCTCATGCGAGACAGAATCCCCCACCCAACTCCCCCCCTCCGGCTAAGAGGGAAAGGAAGATTGCCAATTTCTGCGTTACACTGCAATTTGTACTGGGTAGCTTCTTGTTAAACAAACCCAGAACTATAAAGATCCTAGGTACCTCACATGATGCACAAACAAGTTGTTAGAGCAGACTATCCCCTAAACATGTAAACAAGAAGAGAGGCACCCAGATACAGCCTGCTCATCTATGTTAGCTAAAGTTTTACAAACTGAAAAGGAGTATCAGCCTCCATGCTACAATTATCTAGGTGATATAATCCATACAACACAGTGTCAGTCCTCAGGGTCAAACACTGAGTCTGCTTTTCAGTCACAAACCTTTGGGGAGCATTTGAAGACTACATCTCATCAAGTACAATTGAGGATGTGGTTGTCAGCCCAAAACATAAAAAGGAACGATAATGGGATTTCCTGTCCAACTGCTTCTGTTCACTAACAAGCTATGCACTGTGGGAATTTGCAGGCACTAAGCATGGTATGGTACATTCAGACTCTACTGAGGCCACAGCCCTGGAAACACCCGAAGCAGAGAGATTATATGCACTTCAAAAAGTATTTTCTGAAGCTCTCTCTTCTATTCTGCACTACCATCTATTGATACAGAAGAACAGGCACCTGTGCACTGAGCAGCTAACCTGCAGCCATGGGTATCACACAAGGCTGACCAGCAGTCCTCACTGACATTGTCAATGTAACTGCTATGAGGTAGAGTCCTCAGTCAAACTGAAAAGCAGTAAAACTAGACACTCAAAGAGTTAAGATGAATCAAGATACTGCTTGGCATGCTATGCGCTATCTTCCCCGTGCCCAATATTCAGGAAAAGTACAAAATTTACCTCAAGAACAACCACATATGGACAGAATGCTTTCTTATGCAAACAGAGATTGAGGTTAAGAGTGGTAAAATCCAAAGGGTGGCCTTGAAAAACCTAGAAACTGCATGCAAGAGGAATGTAATAGCATGAACATCAGGAACTGAAGAGCTTGAACGTGTAAACAGAAGTGTCCTAGTCACTGTAACTGCCAACTGACTGTTGAGCTGTACTATGTACTTACATGTACTATGTAAGAATCCACAATCAGCTGATACTGGTTCTGGTATCTCTGGGTTAGTATTGCAGCAACTAGCAAACCCTCTGTTCTGAAGTAGAATATGATTCAAGTTGAGGACCTAGCTTTACCTCGAGTAATTTGCATTATTCCAGCTGGGAAATTCTAATTTACATATTCAACACTTTTGCTTTATGGCATACCAAGAGCTGCTTATGCTCAGGTGAATCACAGGGAACATAATCGTTTTCCATACCCTTCTTTTCAACCCAAGAAAACCTTATTAACTGTATTTTCTTTCTTTCATAGTGAATTTTAATATGCAAGCTTACTGGGGCGGGGGGGAAAAGACACAAATTTTCTTTTATACATACAGGAAAGTTCCCAAAGTTCCAAGTAAGTATCAAATGCTGCATATGATATCACAGGTTAGGCATGTTTGATAGTTTTACAGATCAGGGGAAAAATTAATAAAAAGGCATATTATTTTTTTTTAATAATTATTAATCACTATACATATGATGATATTACCAAGTGACTTACTTCTCCAGAGGGGACCAGTCTCCATCAGATAAGGGGTAATGATCCTTAGAGTGATAAATCAAAGACTCTTTTTGTTCTTCACCCTTTGGTGATGCATTTGAGGATCCTCTGTGGAGATACATGGGACATTAAGTCAGCTATAAGGAATCTGCATTACTAATTCAGTTAGAAGAGTTACTTATATATTTTATTAAAACTCCAAAAACCAAAAGAAAGAAATGTATAGGTTGAAGAATTCATTGTTTGCAAGACACCTTTATAGAACTTAAAATGTATATAAAAACTATTAATACTTGAAAATACTGTTTAATTAAAAGTCTACTACTCTTGACACATAGTAAGTTAATATTGACGTCACATTAGCATAAATGATACCACTCTATACAGCCAGCTAATATTATCAAAACCCAAAGATGAACAGATATTTACACATAACCTTTACTACATAAATCTTAGAAACACTGAAAAAGTTTAATAGAAAACGTAGTTTTGACAATGCACTTTACAACAGCACATTTCACCAATTAAAACCAGTAAGAAAACAGGGGAAGGTACTAGCCCTACAGTTTAGCCATGAGTTTACAAATTAACAAAAACTACAATAAGCACCTAGAAGTTCTGTACTTTTCTGAACAGTGGGGTTTGTTTTGCACTGGGAAGTCTACTCAATATCTATAGCAAAAACCAACCAAACAACAGTAAGATCCACTGAGCAGGCATGCATTGTATTTTACACAGAAGTCCCTTTTAAATATTTGCACCATAAGTACTTCAGATCTTTTTACAGCTTTCTGAATTCAACTGAATACCTAGTATTCTCAGGATACAACTATCTTGTTTTGACGTTAGATCAAGGGCATCATGGCTACACAGTGGAGAGAATACAAGGAAGATAAACTTGGAAGTAGAGTGTAAAATGCAATACAAATTACTTTATTATTGTGAAAAAAACAGGTATTTTCTTCCATTAGAAGCACGGTTGCACTAGACTTCATTTGGAATGCCAATGCTAATTTCTCTGACGGATGGAGAAAGGATTTTTAATGTTATCTATTAAAGTACATAAATATTTAGAATTTACAGGCTTACTCAATACAGCCCATTAGACTCTAAGCAGTTACAGTGATCTACCTCATTTGCACAAGTCTTTCATTTGGAAGACAGCCTAGACTATGTTAAACAGTGAACCCTAAAAATGTCTTAGCAGCTCCACTTCTTATTCAGAAGTATTATGAAACTTGATGATGACAGCTTGGCTTGAGATGAGAGCTGCAGAGACTGTATATCCTTTGCATTCATAAACCAAGCTGTGATAGAAATGTTTCATGCTATCTTTCTCTGTATCCAGTGCTAAGTATCTCCAAAAGAGGAAAAAGGTATTATTGAACAATTAAGTAAACACACAAAAAAAATTATTACAGAGTCATCCTCAATATTATGACCTCAGAGGGGGACAAGATGACACACAGGTGGTACTGAACAGATTTTATTAATTGGGAATTTGCAACCAAATGAGTCCATATGAAGCATCAAAAAACAAAAATAGAAAAAAATCAAATTTCAAGCGTAAGTGGATAAATTTGAAGGTTAAAAATCAAATGCAGTCAAAGGTTATTGAAAGTAGAGGAAAAATCAGTATTCATCAACTTTGAGTTGCACTATCAATTCTAAGCTATTTATTTTGCAACATTTATAAACACTGCTACCACTTTTTCTCATCCTTACCCACTTCATACATGGTGTAAATAAATATGTAATATTTTAGAGACAGGTAACTACTTCAACTTTTTGACACCCTTAGCACTGGAGAAATAATGCCCTCTCTATGAGTGTACACACTGTAATCTTAGTCCTCCTGGTATTATTTTAGGTGAGTCAAGCAACACTAACATATCTAAATCATAGCTAGAAAAGACAAAGGATGTATTTTTAAAAAGTTGCATAAACACTTGGAAATGGATTTTCCCAAGAAACAGGAAACGGCTTGTTTTTCACTTTATAAGAACAGAACTAGATAAGACATTACATACTGGTACCTGTGGCTGAATTTTTGACCTTCCTGTTTGAACATCAGCCTCCCTTTTCCTTTCCCAGTTACACTTTAAAATCTGAAGCTATGTCTAACAGCAGTCAGGATTCTGTTTCTTTTTTCCCTCTTCCCCCCCTCCCCTCCCCAAGAGCCACACAACTAAAACAAAACAAAACAAACCTGCTGATATCACCTTACATCCCCACAGATGTGAAAAGAAAGCTTATGAACATTTTCTCACAACCCTATCTTTAGTTGGCAAGAAAACAGTGTATACCTATTGCAAGGCATTTTATTTCCTGCCTTGGTAGGCCACTGGAATGACTGTACATGAACTCCACTAACAGATACATAGCCACAAATCTACTGTCTCTGGGCTTCCATTACTACAATGTATTTTTTTAGTCCTGCATTTACTTGCTATTCACAAAACAGCATTCTTTTAAGAAAATCTTCTTCCTTTCACACCGTAACACTCTTCTCTGACTGAGAATGCATTTCTACTGCTGTTTCTGTTTATATATGTGTCAAAAAGATGGTTTACAAATAAAAAACCTTTTCAATCTTTCATTCTAAAAGGTACAAAAAATAAAACCAGAGTAACCTTTATGGAAACACCATGGTCTGTTCAGCTATGACTAAACATTTGTCATTTCAATCAAACCTACAATTTTTTATTCATCCCTAGTCAAATTAAGATAATTGCTAGAAGAGCTATTTGAATTCTAAACACTGGATGAAAACAGCCATTCTTGGCGTGACATTCCTACATTCTTCACACATTTATAATAATTTATTAAATAAAGAATAAACAATTCATGGGTTATATTGGTTTTCTTCCTGTACTCGATGGTTATTTTTATTTTTGATGGTTTCACTATGACAAGTTATTGTTGTCTTAATACTCTCACATTGAAGACTGAACAAAAATCTTGCTTTTCTTAAACTGGAAAAAAGGAAAAATCTCAAACCAAACAAAATGCCAATTCCCAGAATCAAACAGAGCAATGAAGATCTAAATGACAATTCATTGACCTAAATTACAACAGTGAAAAAATAAGGCAAATTAACTAAGAAAGCCACGGACATTCTCAAAAACACTTTAAAGTCCAAATTTTGTCTGTTTTGTTTCACTGCTTACAGGTGTGATAACAGTTAGATTCATGTTTTTCTGTTGCATTAACCTTTTTGACTGGTACTTACTAAATTTGAGACTCCTTTCAAGACCCATACTGGAGTTTTCAGTTATACTTTATTGTTACACCAAAACATTCTTCCAGTTCCCAGACCAGATCTTTCATTTATTCAGACAGTATCACATTTGACAGTAATGCTGTCCAATAAAGCAGCTAGCTTTGTCTAAAAACTAAGCCCACTTCTTTTGTTAGGCAGCCTAAGAAACTTCCACATTAAACTGATGAGTAGACCTTTCCTGGATTTTAAGCATTTATATGTTTGATAGCTTTCTTCTATTACTATAATCTTTCCTGTTACTCATATAAGCTTCTTCAGCTCATTAGTACGTGCTACCACTTTACTGCAAGCTCCACTGTACTAATAGTTTAATCCACTTCAAAATACAGGACTGATTTCCCCCCCCCCCCCCCCCCGCTCCTTTACAACTACACACATGAAGAATTCTCTTTACTAATGTGAAGGAGCATTCATTTATGTAGTTTTCAGTTACCAAACTTCAAGATACAGAGAAGTCAAATTCAAATGTGGTGTACTACAGGCATTCCACACTGCAGTTTACTTAAGAGTTTACCAAACACACCGTAAGACCACTCTGCCTCAGAGAATTACACTGAAGCTTTTTCTCAGTCACACAACAAATCATGACAACATTTCTTTACCAGAATGGGCTTAATTAGATTTCCTGTTCATAACAAAATGGCCGAACTTGAAGGATCCTGTAAAGATGTGGAAGATAGTGGAGTTTGTTTGAGGAAAAGCCTACCCAATGCCTATTGAAACTTACGCATTACATACATAGAGGAAAGGTACAAGTCACCTTTTAAATGTTCAGTCATAACAGTCAAGGCAGTCAGCAAGTATCTGATAGTTTACCTTAGGGGTTGAACACTTTTTTCATCATCTGAGCTTATTTCCATTTCAAAAATCTCTTCCGCCCCAGTAGAAGAGATCTGATCTTCCTTCCTGCTATCTTGTTTGTATTTCTTTCGTCTTCTTTTTTTCTTTTTCACAGAACCTGGGGTGAATACAGTCTCTGTTTCCACAGAGTGTGGAATTTCTGAGTTTACACATGTCCTCTCATTTTCACCTGATTTCAAATGATTGCCACTGTCTTTAAAAAACTGGTCTTCAGTGGGTATTGGAGACGTTGCCAAATGCGCAGGAACTTTTTCCTAAGCAAAAAAAGAAAACAACACATTTTTTTTTACTTTGTTTTGCACACAGTTTTCGGCTACAGATTAATCCTTGCATCTATATTTAGATATGAGACTATGCAAGAGCCCAGTAGCATGAAGCTGATATCCAGAAAGGAACCAAGTTCATTAGAGGGATTACAAAAAGTTCAGAAAAATGAATGTTGGTATTCTTACAGTTTCAGACATAAACAACTGATTTTGCTAGCAAAACAAACACCCAGCCAGTGGAATGCTTTTGAAATTATCTGTCCTTGAGCACACCAGTTCTATCCATGCTTAGTAAATGTTTTAATAAAAATAGGCTAATTAAATCTACTGCTGTCTATTTTGAAACAGATTCATAGAAAGGTATAGGTTGAAAGGGACATCTGGAGATTATCTGGTCCAATCTTCTGCTGAAAGTAGGACCTCAGGGCCTTGTCAAGCCAAAGGGTGAGTATTTCCAGTGAGGGAGAGTCTACCACTTCTGTAGGCAACCTATTCCTGTGCTATATTGTTCTCATAGTGAAGGATTTTTCTTATGTCCAGCTGCAATTTCCCCCTTGTGCCCTATGCCCCTTGTCTTATCACCAGGCATCCTTGTGAAGAGAGCACCTGTCTGCTCTGTAACTACCTTCTAGGTATTGCAAGGCTGTGGTTAGATCCCTCTGAACCTTCTCTTCTCCACGCTGAACACAGCCAATTCCAGCAACCTTTCTTCCTATTTCAACTTCTCCAGCCCTCTGATCATCTTGGTGGCTCTCCACTGGACTCCCTCCAATTTTCCATGCCTCTCCTGAACTTGGTAGACCAGAACTGTGTTCCACGTTTGGCCTAACATATGCTATATGTTGAGTGCAACAATCCCACACCCTTTCATCTGCTGGCTGTACTCTTGCTGATGAAGCCTAGGACACATTTGCCTTTGCTGCCAGGGCACACTGCCAGCCTCTACAGCAGAGATGCATTTCATCCAGTCAGACCCCAGCCTGTACTGCTGTGTTGGATTCTTCCAACCCAGATGCAAGGCTTCACATGTACCCTGGTTAAACCTTGTGTGAATCTTGTTGGTCCAGCCTCCCAGCCTGCCAAGTTGGCTCTATCTGGTGGCTCGTTTTCTGGCTTGTCTACCTCTCCTCCCACTTCAGCGTTACCCACAAAACTGGTGAAGGTGCATTCAGTATTGTCATCCCTGTCACACACTATTTATGTAAAGTATCTTTCAAAAATAAAAGCTCAACTATAATTTACTCACATTAGAACCAACAAACAATCCACCCTCAATTAATTACAACTCACTGCCCTTTGAAGGAACAATTCAAATGAAGGAAAAGCTTTACCAATGGACTGCCTGGAGTTTATTTACATAATTGACAAGAAACCGCAAGATATTGACATCTAGACTGAAAGAAACACACTGTGAAGGGACAAAGACAAAGTGGAACAAAAGTAGAAGAGAATGGAATTTGCAAAGCAAGGAGAAAAAGTTATTGAGCTCAATTTCATGGTAAGAAGAGAACTAATTACAAGATGCCTGTTATTTTACAGGACTCTCATGCAGAAGATTAGTCAGGAACTACACTGTGATCAAAACCAGCCAGAGGATTGATACTACTTTTGATGCGTTCAAAGTCTGAACTGCTATTATTTAATATTAAATTCAATTTTTCCACTGAGTTAAAGAGAGTTACAGACCAAGTTTTGTTCCACTGGTTGTAAAGTAGAGATGTGGAGACAGGAGAACAAAACACAGCCTTATACAGCACTGACATACAGATTTTGCATTGTGAAAAACCTCTAAATAAAATTATAGCACCTAAACCAAAGTTAATATTCTATACAATTAGTGATAAGTAATCTAGAATAACAAGATAAAATTTAAAAGACAGAGGAAAAGTTAAAAGAAAACTGGCTGAAAAACAATGCCTGAAAGTTACATTATAATAGTCCTGATATATGTGAATTGAGGCATGTGGTGTTGCCTCCAAATGTCAAGATGTGAAAACAGCAAAAACTGACCACTTGAAAGAACCTTTCTGAATCCACCAAGAACTTGATGAGAGCTTTATCATTTATACCCTAAGCATAGCTTCTAGAGGTGACCACAAGGACATGTTGATCAGTAGCAGACATACAGAAAAAAAAAGTCTAAAAGCACTAAAATCAATTCAGTCCTCTGCTCTGCAGTTAACTGGATCTATAGTTTCAGCATGAACTACAACCTGTCCATAACACATTATACACAGATAAGGCACTCTTGTTATAAATTAAAATACACTAATCAAGTGCAATAGCTCCTTTAAAACATTGTACTGGGGACAAAGGTAGTGGTTACCAGCCTTGCCTTCTGAAAGTCTTGTTCCCATCAGCAGCTGACACAGCCTACACATATAAAAAATGCTTTCAGTTTTGATTTTAACCATGGTGTGTGCTAAACCAGAACCCAACCTTCCTTTCTCTTAAGTGTTATGAGTCCCTACCCCAAGTTATCATTTAGGGTCTTAATGCTTATTTTCTCCTTCCACTCTAAAATATATTTAATGCCTTTCAAAATGAGAGCTTCCTCTGATCCGTCACAGTACACAAGTAGCACCCTAAGCTAAAAAGTGGATCAAGGCAATTTCTGTGAAAGACACTGTATTCCTAATAACAACAGGAAATTAACACTTCATCTTTTACTTCACTGAGACAAAATTTTTTTCTCTCTCCTCAAACTGACTATTTTCATTAAACCTTTTGGAACTTTGTATTTAGAACTTCTTTCCTTCTGTCTTGCTGAAAAATGCCAACGGATTCAAAAGTGATCAAAACCAAAGCTCAGGACTGACAAATGTTATGATTACATAGGTCCCATATCCTTAGGAAATCAGACTAAAAATGAACCATTATTTCTGTTTTTCACAGGGTCGTTAGCTTCCAGATGCAATAGGTTCTTTGGAAATTAATTACTGTATCACAATGCAAGAATAATTCTCAAGTCAAAGAAGTACTGCTAATTAGCGAAAGTTTCATACATAAAATTGTGAAAACTGTGCTAAAAAAAGTATAAGAAAAATTAAAAATATGGCAAAATAGACAACCTTTGTAAGTATGGAGGTCAGAAGCACAAGGTAGAAGAACTTAAGGCAAAAGTTATTATAAGGTACTGCAATCTGTATAACTGCAATCAACAAGAATGAATATACTAAGACAAAGTAAAAAAAAAATTCAACATTTTCGAATAATGCTCTAATAAAAAAAAGAATTAGTTACTTTATTTTAGCAGAATTGTACAAAGCACCAAGCATCTTGGTAGCATATGAAAGCGATTTTAAGATTCAGTCACAGAAAATCTAGCTTTCATAAAAGTTACAATATTGACAACACTACACTAAGCATTTTTAACGCTGTTAAAAATTCTGTTAATACTGCATTGTAGCCATCATGAAGCACAAAGCTCTTACATTTTCCTCCTCGGTTTCTTGTACAAAGAAAGCTTCTCCATTGTCACCCAGTTTCATATGAAGATCAACAGCATCACCATTAATTTCTATATCAATCTGCGGAAAAAGAAAATTTAATGTAAATAGGGGAAAGCACTGACCTCAAGGCCCACTTAGCTCTGAGAATAAACTTTGTTCCATTGTATAATCATGTCTCTTTCTCTTCCCTCTGTTTTGTGAAAGAAGTCGTCTTTATTTTGTTAACCTGCAAAATACATCATGCTCCTAGCAGAGAGCCTAACACCTACAAAAAAAATTGGGGAAAAAAAAACACCAAAACATCTGAATCTTGTTCAACTGATTTGGAGAGCTAGAAGCATAAATAATAATCACTGATCTAGTGGAAGAATGATTGAGACTGTTCATCAGCTAGAAGCATAAATAATAATCACTGATCTAGTCTTTATTTCCTGGAAGAATGATTGAGACTGTTCATATATTTAAAGCTCAGACTGAATTGGGGCCTGGTATGAATCAGAGTCCTGAATACCAAAAGTTAAAGATGACAAACTGGAAGCCTCCTGGAGGCAGGCTTTGTTTGAAAGGGATAGAGATTTGCCACGATTATTCCTACAACTCAGTTAACATTGTTTCAGATTTTCCAGCTCATGAGTTTACGGGGATATGACATAGGACCACAACGCTTCTGCAACCATAGTGCTTTCGTCAGAGGAAGAATGTTTTTATTCTCATAAAAAGGTACTTCAGCGTAGATTACATTGCACAGGAGGGAGAGATTACTCTTCCCCACGTGTATGAAATAAAAGAAAAAAAGCCACAAATGTCTTTCTAAAACCAGGATACAACTATTTTACTTCCTCCCCTTTGTGAAATCTTGGGCATCCAGTTAAGTTCCATTCCAAATTTTTCCAAACAAAATGTGTTAATATTCAGACAAAATGACCTTATTTTTCAGTAAATCTGCTTATCTAATGGTATCTGCATACCTGCATTTAGCCTAGCTAATTAAAAATAATTTAATACATGTTAGATATAAACACAGTCAGCTTCCCTTACTGCAGAAAATTCCAATGGCATTTGAAGTTATATATAGTGTAGACACTTTTGTCAAAAGGAGACCAAGTTAAATACTGTAATTGCTATCAAATATCCAATAGGTACATTACTCAAGTTCTAGGTTCTCACCAATAAAAAAAAAAAAAATTACACAACAAGCCATACAGCTAGTATTGTGATATAGATACTCATATTCATAGCTAGCTATCATGACCTGAAATGGACAGTCAAAAAGGAAAGAGGACTCATTTTAAGATTAGCACATGGACTGCCAAGAAAAAAAAAAACCAAACACCACCACAGTGCTAAGACAGACAGTATCCATATATCCTAATCCACTCCATTATTTGCCTATTTATGAGAATAGCCAAGGAAACCCAACCATAGGAGATGATAAATTACAGGTAGATAACCAAACATGCATGGGGAACAGATAACAGCTTTTCTTTTCCCCCACAATAACTAAATGGTTTTTATCTGAAAATCATATTTACTTCACTACTGAACACAGTTTATTCTTAAAATATTTTCATGAATTTCCAATTCAGTAACATGAGTTTAAAAAAACGACTGCAAACAAAAAACCCTACCTTAGTGTTTCTTTTTTTTTTTTCAACCTTTTCTTTAAGCTGGTTTAGACAGACAAACATCCCTAATTTTAGTACCTGTACCTCACACTGGCTTCTGGAGACTTCAATATATATCTTAAGTATAGAGCTGAAGCACAGAAATGCATATTTTGTGTTCCCATGCATCTTGAGACTAACGATCTTAGCCTCCTAACATGCCAGAGAAAAATGCATACACAAGGGTGTAATGAACATTCAACTGACTAGTGAGAGAACTCAAATGCAGAATGGCAACCCCAGGGACGAAGGGAGCAAGAAGCAGCAGCCATCCACTCAAGCAAAAGCTGAGAACTATGCTAACAGCCTAGTACAGCAGGTACTGAGAGTAGATGTTTCTACTATTCAACAGCTTTTTAGAGGTACCCAGAAGCTGAAATCCTCTCAAATTTGGTTCAATTTCTCAGAAGTATAAAGATGTTTAGCAAGATCAAGTTTCAGGTCATTCCTGTTGTAAGAAAGAAAACTGTAACAAGAAAACTGTTGCTAGACTGTGTGACTATGATAAACTTACAACTTTAATGCATGCAACTCCCACTATGGACCATTAATAAAAAATGCCCCAATATAACTGCTCTTTTAGTTGCACTCTATTCTCCTTTTACAACCAAAATATGAAGATGGAGTGTCCCTTCCTGCAGTGTCCTTTCACTTCTTAGAAAAGCAGCGTATAATCCTGAGGTTTTATGATCTGTTTAAATCAATCCATCCTTCAGTAGCACACCCCCTGGCAATACTGCCTTACACAGTACTCGTTACTGACAGTAATGTGAAGTCCCCCCACAACAGGGCCACTTTTCAGTCAAATTTACAACCCAATCCAACTCACTCCCTAGGTGTGATTACTAAAGCCTATGGAAAAGGGATCGCAGGACAATCTGCCCGGGTAGCGCCACAGTCTCAGACTGGCTGCACAGAGAATTCTACCAGGCTCTTTCAAATACACCCACATCGGAATGAAGCTTCAGTCCCAGTTTTTCTTTGCTTGTGGATATTAATAACTGCATTTTCTATGGCGTATCAGCCTTGAACTGAGCTAACAAGGAGTAATATTTATGATAGGTCACCAACCCTTAAGACATGGTCTGTTTGTCCTCCAGACATTCCACAAATAGTTGCTTGCAACATCAGTGATCGGTTAAATAGCATTAAGCACTTCTTCCCCAGCATACTCAAATACGTAAATAGATAGCCATATAAACATTTTACGACTGTGAAGCCTATATGTTTGTATTATTCTTTTTATGCAGCTTAAGAGCTGTCAAAGCTTTTCTTTCACAGTATTTTTTTGCAGAGTCCTTAGATTACCACAGGAAGTTCTGGTTTGCATTCCAAAACGATCACTCTATACAGCATATACGAGAAACTGCTCTGTGCTAAATCAGCCTGCTAACTGCCTATGTGGGGGGCTGGGGAAGGAAGGAAGGAAGGGGGGTGGGGAGAGGAGGGGAAGGGATGCACTGGTAATCAAAACTTTGTTCTGGCCCACTTTCTGAACTTACCACTTTTTCTTTAGAGCGCAATACACCAAGCTTCCCAAATCGGACATGAAAAGGAGAACACTGGTATGTACCATCCTGTTGCCGGACCACAATGACATCAATGCATCCTGAAAGGGTTGCCTGATTAATGCCTTTGTACAGCTCCTTCACAGTAACCAGGACTTGTCCTGCAAGTTGTCCTACGTAGTTCATGGTCTGAGACTAAGGGAGAAAAAGAAAAAAAGTAAATAAATTCCAAAAACATAAGACGTTTTTTAAAATCAATTTTTTAAAAACCTCTAAATAGGTGTGCAATGTCATTTATCAATTACTCCGATTATTGTAACAAGCTTTACACAAACACTTCAAGAGTCAACAGAATTTTGAGCCAATTTTTATATTACCAACAGTCTCCAGAGTTATAAAACCTATTCTTAATAGTTTATCAACTTGAATCTATGATTATTTAAATTTTTAAAGTCAGTTTTGAAGCATGTCATTTTTAAACCCCAAAGCCTATATTCAAGTGATGCTTAATTACTCAGATAAGCTAAAAAGACAAATTCATTCTCTGAAGACTGCCTACTTAATAAACTGATCCTCTGTGGAAAATGGAGGTAACTGCACATAAGGATGAAAAAAAAAATCTTAAGTCAGGAAAAGTTATGTAGAGCGTATTAAATGTAACTTCCTTTAAAGCTCTGTATTTTTAAAAAGGCTGAGTCTCCTTAAAGAAATTATCAAAGATCTAATGGGAGACAGAGGAATTTCAGAATGCAAGTGGAGAAAACAAATATGGAAGAAATCCAGTTTTCTTCCTATATAAGGAAAGCACACCACCAGTGAATTTATTTGCCATGAAACAAGTACTAAAACCTCCTGCAACATAAAAATCATGAGCTTGTAAAAACCTTTCTTGAATAGCACCGCTATCGACTTCCACAAGTTAAAACTGAGATGAGCAAGACTTCCACCTGTGGTAGGTGATTCCAGATAGCTTTTGATTAAATAAAACTGCAGTGGGTATCATCTATAGTTACAATGTCACAAAGTTTCAGTCAAGAGAGAACAAATATTTTACAATTTTTTTTGTGGTTGTTCATGCTCCTGGCATCAGAAAACTGAGAAAGAACAATACATAGTCTAGGTGAAGGAATCTAACCAGATGAGAGTGGGGAGTTCAGGACAGAATACAAAGATGCACACAATAAGATTATGCCATAGTAAAAAATAAACAAAGAACTCATAGAATCTCTTACCAAAAATTCTGTCCAATCCATTAAAAATACTTAAGTGAATGAATGCATTTTGGATGACTGCAAGTCTTTCAGACTAAGAATAGAATGTGAACTATGAGTGCCAATAAGAAATTAAGTCCAAAGATTTCTCAAACATCTGAGCTTTAATAGAAAGAGAAAGGAAAACCATGAAGGTGTTCTAATGGAAATATTAAGTGCAATCCTTCCTCATTCTGCCATCTCCTGCCTTCCACCCAAGAGACTGCTACAAGCTTGTTTCAAATATATCCAAGCAATTGCATGCCTCTGAAGTTAAGGGTATTATTTGGGAGAACAAAGAGCCACTGCAAACAAGCAAAACACACAACCCTGAACACATAATGGGGCTTAAATTGTAAAAATTCTATTTGGGGATAATATTTCTACCAAAAAAAGTCTACAGTGAATGTGTCTAGTCTATTTTTATTAGCCTCTGAACAAAGTTTAGGATTTTTCTTAATGCCTCTAAACAAAACTAGATTGCACTACAAGAGTTCTTCCTCCTGATACTGCTTTCACTACCTAGGTAGTTAATCAACTAATTTTGCTCTGAGCCTTCAAAGTCTTCCTTATAGCATTCACTCAAAAGGAACCTACTCTTAGTACCTAACAGTACTAATATAATTGTAAACATGCAGGAGATCTTAAAACTACTTTCACAGACTTAGAGCAGCTATGGAAGTATTTTTCTCCACCTCAGGCTTCTCAAGCCTAACGTACATTACCTAATCTTACTTGGATTTTTTTTTTTTTTGGGGGGGGGGGAAATTCCTTCCTCTCCACAAGGAAGATGGGGGTTTTCTAATACAGATTTAAAACTGCTTGAAATTATCCACAGAATTACTATGCTAGCTAAGACGCTAGAGAATTTTCTCCTGTAGCTTTTGTACAATTGGGTTGAAGACAAAATGAACAGGCTGTCACTGAGTGACTAACGAGATTAACAGAATGGACTCCTTATCAACATTAGTGATTAATAAAACTCAGTTCCATCTCTAAGTAGTTTCATGTACAACTATAAAATTGACTGCTTGCTAATGACATAATAGCTCACTCTTGCTAAAAAGGGGAGGTCTCACTTCAACCTTTCCCCATCTGACCCTCTTAATGAGCTGATTTTCGCTCACTGACACAGCTGGCAGAAGTCTACCCATTCTGTTGTCATTTGTTTCAGTTGTTTAGCAAGTTAGACCAGCTCAGGAAGAAGAACGTAACGGACACCAGAGAGTCATGAGGCACACAGCAGCACCAGAGAGCTAGAAAAAAAAAGGCTGGGGCAGGGAACTGAACATCTTCCTTTTGACGTATCAGGTATTTGCTGCATCTCATGGAACTGTAACCAAGACAGAAAGGTGGCAATATCTCTGCTTTACTGTTTCAGCAATTAGTCTTCCCCTGCAACGCCAGTCATCTTTATTCTCAATCTTAGGAAAAGTTCTCTAACACATAGTCATTATCATTCATGGCTATACCTTGGCCGCTTCCAAGAGGAGTCTATGGTACTGGCTTACAAAGAGAAGTTGATTTCATGTCACCAAGGAGACTGAATTTGTTAAAAAGAAATGTTTGGCACAATCAGGAATAGAAGTCCTTAATAGAGTCTCCATTCCATATATTTCATTTCAGTGAATAGGACTTGAGAAGTGGACATTAGCAAGGAATTCTCTATCATTTAAGTAGCGACTGTTCAGAAGATCAGAATTTCACAGCGACTGCTAAGAATTGAGTTCCGTTGATAAATAATCTAGTTTTCCTCACATACATGCTATCTGACTTTATTGAACCACAGAAAATCACAAAAAAAACCCCATAGGACTGAGGCATTCACCTATTTTACATATATTCTTACTTTCCTGTAGCAAAAGTTATGTTTTATATCTCAGTTACATTTCTGTATCTCACAGCACAGCCACTTTTATGATCATACATGAACAGAATAACCTCTTATGTGTGAAAGTTATGAACTTTTGAACCTACTGAGTGTTAAACCCAATATTTATAAGGAAAGAAGCTTCTTAGGATCCAAGTCTTAACGGAAACATTTTGTATATTGTAAGTAAACAAAATTGTAGATCAGAAACTAATGTATATTATTGCTTACCAGGTTGTAGTTCAGCTTTTAAGGTAATGGTTCATTTTGTAAGAGAAGCATGTTACTTAAGGTTCAAACTGTAGTAAGCAAATGATCAACTAGAAATAGTGTGTCACTACATACCTGAGAAACAGGAGATGTTTAATTTATCTCAAATGTCAATAGAACCCCAGCTAGGAGATTTAAAAATTTGCTTTAATTTTATTGTGTATTTTTGGCAAACTTGTGGTGAGCAGCACTGAATCTGACTAGAGAAGCAGTGTAGAATGTTACTGGGTTAATTCTTGCAAATGCAATAGAAATAGCCTGCTCACAGAATAACCAGTAAGACAAAGTATTTCCTCGATAACACTATTTCATGCTTAGAAAACATGTGTTAAATGTTGTTGTCCTGAAAGCAGAGAAGAGCAGAGAGCCATATGCTTTCATAACCTGCTGTCAGAACCTAAAAAACATGCCAGTTTCCAGTTCTGCAATTCAAGACAGAAGTCTAATGGACAAGACAAGCTAAGAAAGGGCAACGCAGCAGTATTTCACAACACTGTTTAGCTTTTAAGTTTTATTTATTTTGATATCCAGAGTACATACATTACCTGATGCAGTCAAATTCCAGAACTCTGCATAAAAGCTAATGTAGCTCACTACTACTTACTCCTCTAGGATAGCAAATAAGAAGGCTATCAATACTTAAGGTGTCACAGCAGAAAACCACTTTTTGTGACTTTTGAGGCTCCAGGGACTGATTTTTGAATGTTTATGCAATAAACAGTTTACAAAAATTCTTGTAGCTGAATATATTAATACTACTAAGCTAAGTGCAAATGTAATTGGAATGGGGGAAAGGATCTCTCTGTCCTATATCATAAGGGAGATTTTTTTTCTGGCAAGAAGCCATTACACTGCAAAAGGCAGAAACTGGAACTGCCCAGTTCAACAACAGAAAAAGAGTGCAAGCTACTCAAAGGCAAGCTGTCAGATTGCTCTAGAGAGATACAGCTTTAGAGGGCATTAATTTTACCTATCACTGCAAAAAGAGTTACTTAAGTGTAGATCTTAGCTTACAAGAGAGTAAATCTTTATACATCCCATTTATTTTGAGATACATTTAGAGATTTAAATCATAGTCTAATGCCACACGATGTAAAGAAGTTGCATTGGTTTCAAGAGATTAGGTAGAAAAACAAAATAAAAAACATGCATAGCAATGGTTTACCTCAATTTATCTCATCTTGCCTATATTTGGATGTGTATATATATATTTATGAGGCAGGAGCTTTCCTTAACCAGGGAAAATCTTTAACAAGTGTTTTACTAGTTTCTGTTTTGTACTCTGAAAAGAAGGGGGGGGGAGGGGGAAGTAGGAGAATGACCACTGTAGCATCAAGTCCGTTCAGCAAAAACAAGCAAACTAAAACTTCTTTGCTCCTAAGTAAAAATTTTAATTAGGGTTATAGGATTGCTTCTAGCACTGCACAGAGTATTTATGGAACAAAAATGGGAAACACAGTAATTCTGCTGAATGCCTAAATGAAGTCTTCCACATAGTATTTACGGGCAGTCAGTTTTTACATATTTTAACTACGCTATAGGAAATTATATACCCACACTTAGCCATAAATCTGTCAAACTCACCAAGATTCCAGAATGAACCCTTTCATGGGCAGCAACTCCATTACTATTGAAGTCATCTTCAAAACCATCCTTTTCTGAGAAATGCATCTCAGAAATCAGGAAATTAACTTTCCACAGTACAGGTAAATGCAAAGCTTACAGCCATAACAGAATGTTGTGTCAGCATTTCTTCTCCTTCCATAGAAGCAGAATAATTAGGCAAATCTTCTGGTCGCTCAGAATATACTCGCTTGGTATACTTTCCCACGCAGTATTATGATTAAAAAGGAAGTGCTTCTTTAAGAAAGCTCACATAGAAACTCCCTCACCAATAGGCTTTGCTTGAAATGTCACAGCCCCCTTGCGCTCTTTGAGATAAGTAATAACATGGGCAGACTCTGCCATATGTTTGCACTGATAGGTAATGATCTTGTTTTACATCAGGTCACGTGACTTCAGCTGAAGCTCCCATGAAAAGAAACAGGGATTTAGTTAATGATTCTTAAGCAAAGTCTACATTAGCTCACTTGGAGACTTTTCACCTACCATTGCAACTCCACCACCTGTAGCAGCATTCAAAGTCCTAGTTCAGCCTGTTGCACACCTAACTCAAGAATGCCTGTACTGCCACTCTCTGTGCCTGCTCCCTCCGCTGACGGTTCACTGGGCTAGCTCCTCGGGCTTTATAGGGCAAACTTGATGGCAATTCAGGGTCTGGTATTTGTGGGCTATTTCCCCCCCTTTTTTGAAATTGCATTATAATAGTAAGGAGACAATTGACCTGGTGTCAAGCTCATACTAAACCATACAACAATGCACACCAAAATAAACATTTTTTTCCTGTGACAATTTTCCTACTTTCTTTAAACTGAATTGTTAAAGCACTATAATTTGGGTGTGTGGACTATACATACAAGCTTATTGTATGTATTATACCTAGCTTAGTCCCAGCTCCATGACTGAGAACAAAAATTAATTTTTGATCTGTGGAATTTTGAAATGTCATTACTTCTCTAAATAGTATCCTGGATAGGCAAAGTAACTGAGGAAGTGTAGCATAAGGAAACAATTCTACCCTTGAATGGGAGAGACAGTCTCTGAGGTCTGTTAATATTCCCTCAACACAGGCACATTCTCATTACCTTAAACCTATGCATCTTCTCCCCACTCCCATGGTGTTACTTTGTGTCTGCTACAGAAGACTGTGGAGTACTACTTATTGAATTACAAACTAAAAAATAATCTAGGATCCTACTACCACCTTTACTCTATCCTTCTCTAAGTCTTGCAAATTTATGCATTGGGCTTTGATGCAAGGACAATGAGTCACATTACTTGATGCAGCCAAATGGCTTGTAGGTTTCCAAAATAACTAGGGTACTACACTCAAGGCCAAAACTCAATCAGTCTAGATGACAAACTCCTAAATTGAGTGTTGGGATTTCTGCACATGTAGTAAGGTTGCAATAAACTGCGACTATCTCTGGGCCCTTTTCCATATACTAAATGAGTTCATATTTAATGTGGTTCTTCACAGGAAAAATTCCTGGTTTTGTTAGCAGACATGACAAGTATTTTCACAGGATATTAAGAATTACTGGACACACTCAATTTTCCTCTGCTTGTTCATCATTCCTTTATCATGTGGGTTCCATTCAAATACGGTAAAAAACACAGTTATAAGCAGAATTGAAGCCAACTTTGTAAGACAGTGCTTCTTTTCAAACACTTTTGACTTAGCTTTATGGTTTGGGGGGGTTTGTGTATAATTTTCTGTTATATCTATTCTATTTCAGTATTGTTCGGTATTTCAGATGACATTATTTTCTTCAAAGCCTCTAAAAGTATTTTGGAAGACAGCCTTTCTAGAATACAAATAACATTGTGTTCGCTGCAGTAAGCTAAGATTTAGACAGGTAATAAGCTCTGCACATTTAGTAAGCCTCCTTGTCTTTTATTTCTCAACATTAATAAGGTAAGTAAAATATAATTCCCTCTGAGTAAGTTTAAGTACTACATTAGTTACTTACAATTTACACAGGAAAACTAGCTTTTGTTTTGAAAAGCAAACACCCCAAATTTGGAAGTATTAGAAGCAGTGCTTTTCATGCAACCTTAACCCAGCTCTTTGGTGTGGGTAAATTTTACTGTGGTTTAGCCTCAGAAAGCGCATGAGTCTTTTCACCAGCCTCATGCAAGTCAATACTGCTGACAAAGATCAGTCATGATCCTATGTTCTTTTTTTTCCCTCTGCTCTTTGTGGGTCTACACATCTTATTCCATTGCTCATTAGTCAAAATCCCCAATGGGAAGTATGATTCCATTTTTAAATGGTACTTTTCTATAGTAACCTTCATAGCATATTGACTGCATTAATTTAGTTTTACAGCATCCCAGAGATGCAGCATTGGTTTTTTTCACCTATACAATGGAAAACTCAGGCCAGGAGATTAGGAATTAAAAATACAGAGGTTTTTAGTACCGTTAAACTTGAGTTTGCAAAGTTTCCCTCCATTTTTTTACCTCTTTGCATATTCAAAATATTGCTTCCATAGGCTACATTTGTAGCCACTAATCAGATATCCCAGATGGTCATTACAAAAAAAAAAAAAAAGCCTGATTGCCAGTGAAAATTACAAGTGATTTGGTTGTACTGTATAGGAACTGCAGAACAAGCATGGCCAGAACACAGCTACAGGACATCTCCCCTAGCTTTCATCAGTATATGTCATTCTAAGTTCTGGAAGGAAGGAAGCAGAAATCCTATAGACAGGAGCTTCTATCAGTACACAATCACAATTCACTCAAAGATCAGGATAAATATGCTAAGATGAATAAATGAGACAAATCCTTCTCTAATTAACATATCCTAACAGATACAGCAAGTATGGGACAACCTTTGTTCATGTCCTGTATGTCTCCTTCACCCTATCCTGCCCCAAATCATTTTATTTACTACAAACTAAGACTTAAGCAGCACAGTTCTCAGTCTCACACCCCATCCTGACATTGGAAAAGGTCCTTTCTCCCCAAGCCTCAACTCCAATTCCTATATTCCACCACACTTCTTTATTTCATGTAGTTTTTACACTTTGTCAAGTGGGTACAAAGCAGAAGAGTTCTCACAGAGAGACTGCAAAAATCAGATCGGGACTGAAAACATTGTCTTGTGCCCAAGTTCTTGATCCTAGCCCTGGTCTGAACCATCTGCTTACTGAAACTGCAAATACAACTCTGCTCATTCCAGCTTGCGGTAAAATACAATTAATGCAGCACCTCTGTTACTTTTAACTGTGGAAGTCTATCCATTCTCAATATGGACTTTTAAGCCTTATTCAAAGCCTAATAACTTTGCCAAAATAAAATAAATTTAGACATGAATAACAGAAGACATACTGAATGAAGACCATCTGCCTCAGCTCCCTTCTGAAAGAGACATGAGCATTTTTTTTTAAGAGAGAACAGCTAGAGTTTTTCCTCTAGTAGAGTGGAAACATACCATTAAGTTTCATTTCTTATAAAAAAAATGACTATACTTGCTAAAATTTTCCATAAAGGCGTAAGGAGGCCAATATATAACTTGGAATGAAATTTTCCATTTTAGCAAAGTTATATGCAACTAAAAATCAAGTTCTGTTCAAAAATGCTGAAAAAGATTAAAAGGCAGTTACCTGCTTTCACCCGCCAATTCCCAGCTGTCCAAAAAGTAAAAATAATGAAAAAAACCTATCACAAGTAATAACAGCGTAGTACAAGAATCCAAGCAGTTAACAGCTGTTAGAGACTAACACCAGTGATACAAAAGCAATGCATTGCCCACTAAACTGGTGGTTAAAAATGAATAAAATCAAATGTCTAGTTTCCCACCTAAGATGCAAGATGGTAAATTCAATGCCTTCAAGATCTCATGTTAGGTGGAGTCTAGAGCCATTCAAACTAGAATATTTTTCAGTGCAGCTTAAGTATTTTTTTTATCTCCAAGAAAAAAAAAATAGCAAGAAAGGAAATCCAGTTTATTTGGACTTGGCCCTTTTGTAATGTCTCAGAAGTTATATATATATGATCCACTATGACTCATCTGATTCTGCTATTATGGCATCTTGGCTTGTATTAATTTGAGAATTTTTTTTTTTTCCTCTTTTTAAACAAAGGAACTTCAGTGAGAACAAAAAATACTTTAAGATTCCATAAGGGGAATTTTACTATTAAAATGATCAGTTCAATCAAAAACTCGGGTTAGATGCCCACGGAAAGTTCTTATGTACATGAAGACCTTAACTTCTTTCAAGGAACTGAAAAGAAGTAACTGGCTAATCCAAGAACACACCCCTTCAGAATCTGCACGGGCATATCCCACACAAGTTCCTGCCACGCTTAACATATCCGTTTCCAGCAGCACAGACTTTACTACAGCCACATCATCCTTGGTTGAACTTATTTTTAGACACATACCACAGAATCCAAAGTTTCTGAATAAAAATTCCATCTACCTCATTTTTACATGCAAGAAAGCAGAGGAAGCTTTTCCTGTATGTTTCTAGAAAGCACCAAGCATTTCCCTAGTGAGGAATCCCTTATCTTTCTATTTTCTCCATCTAAAAAGGTTTCTTTCCAGGCACTGATCTGCCTCATATGTATTTATATTTTCTTACAACCTTCCAGGATTTAAAAGTCAAAGCAAAAGAACACAGTCATGTATTTAAGCATGAAATGCATTTTGATCTATTAGTGGCGAATAACCTGGTTACCTTTAGAATGGATACATGAATATAAGAGCTGAGACTAGTGCTTATCTTCAGGTTGACAAGAAAGAACAGAAATACATGTGCGGAATACCCCAAAAGTTCTAAATATAGTGTATATAAACAAGATACCTTTTTTTACTTGATAAGACTCTCCATATTGTTGAGCTGATGAACATGTACCAAAATAGAACAACATCCATAAATTTAATTTTCATATAAGACTTGGCTGTTTTATTAGAAAATCAGGTAAAAATGCTAGTCTTACAGAATTCCCACACAAAGGTATTCATTGCATGAGATGTTAGGAAGGGGAAAATTAGATATAGCTGAGCAAAGCAGCATATGCTTACTCATTTACCAAACACAATCTACTTGCATTATTAAGTTTTAATGAACACAGAGATCACATCTGCTGAAGGATGTATCTGTTCACCCTTAGCACACAACAGCGTGGCTGCACCATCTATATGGGATATTAAAAACGCATAAAGCAACACAAACAAGAAATCTGTGGGGCCAACATGCACGTTTTTCATTCAGGGAATGAACAACTTTAGGTCACCACCAAGTAATTCTTTGTTAAAAATCACTGTATTTCAGT